CGTGTGTGTGTGTGTGTGTGTGTGTGTGTGTGTGTGTGTGTGTGTGTGTGTGTGTGTGTTTTCCTGGCTATTTTGAATAGAGCAGAAATGAAGAGGGATAAGCAAGTATTTCTGTAGTAAGACATGGAGTCTATATGTTCAGATCGCTGGGTGATATGGTTGATTTATTTTTAACCTCTAAAGGTTAAAAATTTTTCATAGTTGCAGCTTCCACGAATAAGGAATAACTGTTATTTCCTACATCTGCACCAGCATTTATTTGCATTTGGTCTCTTCATCTTAGCCATTATGAGTGAGGCAAGGTGATGTCTAAAAATAGTTTTGAATTTCATTTCCTTTATGATTAAGCATGTTGCACATTTAAAAAATATATTTTTTTTTTTTGGTTTTTCGAGACAGGGTTTCTCTGTGTAGCTTTGCGCCTTTCCTGGAACTCGCTTTGGAGAGCAGGCTGGCCTTGAACTCACAGAGATCCTCCTGCCTCTGCCTCCCGAGTGCTGGGATTAAAGGCGTGCGCCACCACCGCCCGGCAAAATATTTTTTAGCCATTTGTATTACTTCTTTTGAGAACTCTGTTCAGTCCATAGCTCATTTGATAATTTGGTTGCTTGTTGTTCTTGGGCCTTGTTCATTTTTGTTGTGATGGTGGTTGTTCTTTGCATATCTAGTGATAATGCTGTCTTTCACTGTACAAAAGCCTCTTTCATAAGACTTGATTTTTCCATTATTGTTTTGTACTCGACTTTGCTGTACTTGCCTCAAGGTTTCAGTATACACCACACTTTTCCCTCTATCAGGTTTAAAGTAGCAGGTCTTAGGACGAGGTCCATTGATTCATCTAGGCTTGAGTTTGTTCAGGGTGAAAAGGAAGGATCTAGTTTCACTCATTTGCATGTCACTATTCAGTTTCTTCAATGCTAGCTGTTGAAGGTCCTTTCCTTTCACTAAAAATCTGGTGGCTGCAGGGCTTATAGTTGGATCCTCAATTCTATTCCATTTTTACCGCTCAACTGGGGTGTATGTATGTGTGTGTGTATATATATACATATATATATATATGGATTTTTATTCGGTTGTAAAGAAAAGTGAAGTTATGGGATTTGTAGGTAAGTGGGTGGAGATGGAAATAATCATTCTGAATGAGGTAATCTAGATTCAGAAACACAGGTATTATATGTACTCTGTCATATGTGGATCACAGCATTAAATATTTAGGTTTGTGTTTAAATTAGAGCATGAATAAAAGTTAACAAAATAGAAATGGACTGTGAAGGGGTACGCCCCTTCAGGGATGGTGGTGGAACACAGGTGATATTAATGTAGTGAGGTAAATGAAGCTGACAGGGCTAAATAGGTAGGGAATGGTAGATCATGGTAGAAAACTGGAAATAAAGAAAAAAAACTAACACTAAAGATTTGAAAATTCCATATAGAAACCTAGTGTAGAAGCTTCCTAAATACACACACACACACACACACACACACACACACACACACACACATACACATATAAAAACAGTTTAAATGGAGTTACTCTGGATGTGCATGTGGGTAATTCTTTTTTTCTGATGTCATAAGCTATCAAAAATAAGCCTAGATGGTTAACTACCTTCAAGCTGTTGGTCATGGGGTCCCTTAGACCATCAAAGCAACACGGGTTATTGTCATCTCTCTTGTAACCCTAAAGAACTCGATAGGTCTTTCTGTTGAAGACACCGTATTCTTTAATCATAGGACACAAAAATAAATCTGGCACTGACCTGGAAACTTCATCTTTACTGACTAGTTTTCATAGTGCTGGTAGGTTCAATGCTCACTACCGAGGAAGAAAAATCAGCAAGTCTTCCCTAGTTATGGATACTATGAGCTACAGTAGCAACCCTGACAAGATTTTTCCATTGGTTCAATAGTGGCATAGATGCTTTGGATGTAACCAACCTTTTTAGTTTGGAATTTAGGCCTGCTCCACCAGATGGATCTCATGGCTGGCATTGTTTACTGTATCAAGAACCTGCAGATAGCCAAGTCATAGGCCCAAAAGAAGAACGTATTACTATTATTCAGCCAAATGGATATAGTATTAAACTACACCTTAAGCCCTTGACATTTTATATCTGTAAATTAATACAGACCTCAAGCTTCATCAGAGAAGTTTGTTTTTGTTGTACATGGTGATTAATACAGATGCTCACAATTGTTCAATGTGCAAAGGATAAGATACTGTGAAATGTACAAAGCTAAATGTGGCTTCTATGTCATACCCATGCAAGGCTCAGGGATTATTCTGAAAGAGAGACACAAAGATCCAAAGGTCAAAAGTAGTAGAAGACTGTTCTGAAGTAATGTCTTGCAGTCTTGATAAGGTTGTTGCACACATGAACTTGCAGTGACTATGACTTCATACAAAAGTCTTTCATATAATCAAACGAGCCAAAATTCTAGCATGAATCGGGAAGGGTTTCATGAAGGCCCACCCTTACCGAAGAAAGAAGCTAACGGCAATTGATCTTCCTAGGGGAGGGGGAGTCTGTTTACTTAAGAGTCATCCCCTGATAGGATGCTTTTCCATTAGGTGGCCATACACCAGTTCAAATAATTCCATCACTAAATGGACTCATTGGTTTACAAAATAAAATATAAAGTTGGTATGGAAAAGTGGTTGTGGGTATAGGAGCCATGGCAGGGGTGGCTTTTCTAAGTATTCAGGCATATATAAAATTTTCTTTCTGAAATAAACACCATTGCAGAAGAAGACTGCCGGAAAGAAACTTAAAAACTCCAGATAGTCATGTCAAAATGACAGGAAGAGTTGAAAATGTGGTAGGGGTCTTAGGGGAAAATATGGTAAAAAGTAATGACTAAAAAATAAACTGATCATTATTAGAACACATGATAAGTGTATATGTATTTTAAAGAAAACATTGTGAAGGCCATTGGTGAAAATAGGAAGGTGAAAACTAAAACATATTAAAAATAAAATGATATCTGTAATAGTAGAAAGAAACCAAACAGTTAAAGACTAAAAGAAACAACACTATTTACCAAAGTTTAACAGCAATGGGAAAAAAACAAAACAAACACGGATGAGTGATGAAAGTTGAAATAAGCTACATCAATGTTATTTGAAGGAGGGATTAGTAGGGATTATCCTTAAAGGTTTTCTACCAGAAAAGAAAAGATGTGTTAACAACAAAAATTCAAAAGAATCATAATCTTCCAAAACAAAATCAAAGCACTTAAGAACAGAAGAAAACACACTCAAAAATAAAGCAATCAGACCCAGACTGCAAAACAAAACCCTTCTTGTAATTATAAAGAGCGGAAATTTAAAACACATAAGACCCCAAATCCATACAAGTAAACATGAATAATTTAACATTCTTATCTAGAGAAAAGGGATTTTTA